AGGCCGACACACACACACACACACACACACACACACACACACACACACATACAGGTCTGTGACAGCAAATATTTGCCCACATGTGGGGGCAGCTTGTAGGTTTTGCCCAGAGTAAACACACCAATGTGGATGTGGAATAATAATGTGGCACATTTTAACAGCTGCTCAGTCACAGCTTGTTTACAGTGTTTAAGGGTTCTCTTAAGCACTAATTTGTCACTGTCAGCTTTGTTGCGCTCATGTGTATACATTTCTGCTCAATAATCAGCACCTGAACAATACACAAAGCTGCTTTTTAAAAAAAAATCAGTTTATTTGCATGTCTGTATGCACCTTTGTATCCAAACTGGGGTTTGCAGCATTAATTTCTCTTTCATGAACACGTGCTGTTTGTTACAGATTTGCAGACTTGAACCTGGTTTTGCTGTAGTGTGTGCGTGTGTGCACGTGTGTTTTGCGTGCATGCACAAGCTTGCATCTCTGTCTCCTTATATTTGTGTTATTTTGTTGTTGAAAGATTTACACAGCAGCGTCTCGCCTCCATTTCAAGTCTTGTCTTGTCCCGGTCTGCCACGTTATATGGTTCGACACACACTCAGCCCTTTGTCCTCACCTGATTTATCATCTGCTCTGCGGCTCCACTGGTTTCTTATGCAGCCCGAAAGTGGAAAAMGTGACCATAAAATAAAAACACATTCATTTTAACGATTCGTTCGACACATTGTGTCACTTCATGTAAGTCACAGTCAAAATTATTAAAAGGTCAAAGCTTTTCACAGTTGGAAGATGATAACATTTTCTCACTTTTTCTGATGATATTACAGCGTTATCAAATTGAATAAAGCACTAACTCTGTTTGGAAGATGTTATTGGAAAAAAATACTAATTCAGCTTTTATTTACCTGTTGTCATTTGTTTTATCTGTTTGAAGGCAAATCAAGTCTCCAAACATCCAGAAGCAGATTATGCCAAGTGACTTGAGGAAAGATGCTTTAACAGATGGACATCCATACTCTTTATCACAGGTCTGAATACCCATGTGTGTTTATCCAATTCTTTCCATTGAGCTTGCCATTCCATTGATTTCAAACTGACCCATCCATGCATCAACTGTTTGTTTTATATCTCAACTCTTCAGAGGGCGTTTTCTTAGAAWTTTTTTTTTATTTCCTCTGTTCCTTTACACACATTTAAATTCTGCAATTCACCTCATTTCAGCAGTTAGAACCCAGTAGTTTCCTTTAGGTCTCTGCAGAAATCGGGGAGCAGAGAACTGTGTGCAGTCAGACATCTTGATGTACCATTTCTGACAGTTTGAGTATACATACTTTATACCTGATTCATTTTCAGTGCTGTTATTCTTTCTGCTTGCACACCTGCACGCATGCTTGTGATTTAGTTAGCTGAAAAGTTAATATACAGAGTGCAGTCATGCCAAGTCATTTCTTCAGGACCAATAAAGTAGACCTTTATGCATCTCATTGCCAAACAGAGACATTTTTTTGCTAGTGTTTTAGTTTCTATTTTTGTGTGTGCGTGTGTGTAAGGGAGAGTTTTCAGGCAGCATCTATGATTCTGTTTCTGCAGCACAATGATGTCAAACAGATCATGTGACTGACAAGAACAGAAAAAAGTGAAAACTTTTATTTTCTTCAAATGTTCATGTAATAGATAAAGTATGCAAACAAAGCAACGTGCACAAGTTCACCTATATTCAAATTAATTTTATTAGTTATGAATACGCGTTTCATAAAATATTGACCAAAGGAAATACTGGTGTTGGAGCAGATACAAGCTCATATTTTAGTTTCTTGTTATTAATTTGTAATGGCCCACCCTCCTGGATTGCTTGGCTGCTGCTTTTTATGTTTCTGCTCTGTCAATACTCCAAGCTATAGGTTGTCCACACCAAATTATAACTCATAAGTTATCTCCAAAAATAACTTAGTTTAATAAGTTTACTTATGCCATAGAAAACAGTATTTAGTATGACATTTATTGCTTTTTTTGCTGGTCTTTATTCAGCAGTTGAAAATAACATTGTTCAAAATGAGCAGCTGACTAAAGAGCGCATAACTGATGCTTGGGAATATTACTTTATGGTCTTAAATTGATTATACACACACACACACACACACACACACACACACAC